TTTTTTTTTTATTTTTTCTGGGACTGGGGATTGAACTTAGGCCCTTGTGCTTGCCAGGGAAGCGCTTATTCTACTGAGCCATCTCCCCAGCCCCTCCTCCTGGGTATAAATGATAGTTAAAGCTGTGGTACTCGCTGCATCCAGGAAGTGAGTGAAGATAGAGTAGAATCTGATTACACCCCAGTAGTTCAAGATCTGGAAGTGGAGGAGGCCTCAGAAGAGGAGAATGAAGAAACAGCTCCTGAGGTGAGAAAATGAGTTAGGTCAGAAACCAAGTGAAGTGAATGATTCAAGAGGGAGAGTGAAACTCATCCTGTGGAGGTGCCAAGCATATGGGGACTGAGAAATGACCCATGGACTTGTCAGCATGGAAGACAGTGGTGTGCTGTACTCAGTTGCTTTTAGTGCATGGAAGAGGGAAACCTGACAAGCATAGATACAAAAGGGAAAAGGGAGGAAGTAGTAGATTGTTAGGGGAGAGGAATGCAGGTTCCCACAGAATGTTTTTTTAGCTCCTTGTGACAGAGTCTTATTGTGTAGTCCAGGCTGGCCATGAACTTGCAGCAATCCTGCCCAGCCTGCTGAGTGCTGGGATTAAGGATATGCACTACCATGCCTGGCCATGGGGTGGTTTTTCAAATGGGGTCTATTACAGTGTTTCGTGATAGAATTATTAAGCGGGGTAAAAGATGTTGATAATGCAAGTAAGAGAAAACAACTAGAGCAGGTGGGGGTGGGGTGGGGCTGTAAGGGAGGTGTTTTTTGACCTTAGCCAGGTGGACACACTTGATTTTTAGGTGGAAAGGTGATATGGTAGGTGATAGGTTTTGACAGTGTCGCAGCAGAGAAACAGGCAGAAGGAAAAAGGGAAAGGGGCTTTATTATAAAGAGAAAGAGGCTTCATTATCTTGGAGGACACGGAGAGAATCTGGGCAGATAAGGAATTCTCTGGATTAGAACAAAGGGAGGCTGAGGCTTTTATGACCTGTTGCCAGGGGTGGGGTTTGAGGGGATGTTTAGATACACTCGAGGAGCTGACTGGGGCCTTCCCTGCAGTGGCGGGAAAGGTGAGAGGAAACTGCACCCTGGACTGAGTTGGAGGAGAAGCGGGGAGGTGGTCTCTGGGAAGATGCGCTGTTGTTTCAAGGGCTTCAGTCATATGGGATGACCACCATAGTAATTCAGCAATTCAGGGCCAGAACCTGTCAGTAGGTACCCTGCAGGCTGCCTGGTAGGCAGGGAAATGAGGGCATTGGGAAGTCCTCTTCACGTTCTTAGTGCACTGGGAAGCTAGGGCGCCCCTGCTCCCCCACATGTTTTTCACTGCTTGCTTCACAGCCACAAGCTGGGCGTGGTGGCACATCTGGAATCCCACAGTGCGGGAGACTGAAGCAGGAAGATTGCGAGTCTGTTGCCGATCTGGTGCTTAGTAAGGCCTTATTCCACAAACAAAAACCAAAAGAAACCAAAATGCCTCACAAGCATTCACATCCTCCAACTGTTATCAGGTAGCTTGTTTCTAAAAGGCAGCTTGCCTACTAGAGGTTACCGGGTTCTCCACCTGGAATTAAATGTCATGTTCTTGTCTTGAACAAAGAATTGGACAAAACAAGCAAAAAGCAGTGGCAAAGTTTATTTGAGAAAGTAAAAGTGAGGAGTGGGAAAGAAATTGGCTCTGCAGGAGGAGCTGGGGCTGAGTAAAGAGAAAAAGCAAGAGCAAGATGGAAGTACACACTGTATGGGAAACAGCACAGGTATTCACAGAAAGTTTTTTTTTTTTTTTTGTGGAACCGGGGATTGAACTGAGGCCCTTGCGCTTGCCAGGGAAGCGCTTATTCCACTGAGCCATCTCCCCAGCTCCAGAAAGTTTTGATTGCAAAGTTCTTTTATGCTGTCTATGTCTGGAGAAAACTTGTACATCTGGGTCCTGAGAGGTGGTGCTGGGATACCAGGTCTAGGCCATCCTATTGAAAACCTGCTCAAGTTCTTGCAAGAAGTCCACTGCAGGGCTTTGGGATCTGCTTGGGATCTTGTAATTAACAGGTCGGACTACTTCTCTAGCCAGCATTGCCACATACTGCTCTCCTATCGTACTGTTTCCACTGTTTACTGTCCAGTGCGAACCCTTGTGACTCCAGCTGGTAAAGATAGTAAGTAGCCTCGCCTTAAACAGACAGCTCTATACTTAACATTAAAGTCTATAAACTTTGATAGTCCCTAATGTGTTAATGTGTGAAAACCAGGGCTGCTTTTAAATATCCTCAGACTCCTTGACCAGGACTGCGATGTGGATCTTCCCTCTCTGGCTACGTAAGGTGCACTCTCTTCCGTTTCCTATGTCATCAGGCCCTAGTGCTGATAGGAGGCACTTGAGTCTGTGAAGAGGGTACTTGAGTGGAAAAGAGTCTGTAATTTCCGTGTGTTTGGAACCGGATCGTGATGGCTGTCCTGTTGGCTGGTGAGCCCTCCTCTCCTGCAGTGCTTCTAAAGTGACAGAGGCTTATCCGTCGCCAGTTCTTTGGCTTATTGGCAAGGAACAGTAAGGAGCTGGAAAGGCGGCTGAGTGGTGAACGCCTTCGCCTCCCATTCTCCTCCTCCTCTGCTGCGGGGCTCCCTGCCTGATGTGTTTCTATCCAGAAAACCTTGGTGGCTTCAAAAGGCATTATGAGCTGAAGGCTGTCTAATCAGCCTCTCCGTGCCCTTTCTGTTGCATGTTATAAGTTGAAGAAATGAGAAGACCTGAGGTCTCACTGAGGTTAGTCTCTCTCTGAGTGCAGAGCCACAGAAACATCTCACATTTATTAAGGGCCAAAGGCAGGCTAAGGAATGTGTATAACTACTTTTGTGAATACTAACTACCCTCTGCTTCAGCATTTACCTAACTCTAAGTTTACACAATGCTAGTCATTAACACTCCAAGCAAGGGATAAGACAATAGACGGGGCCAGCCAGAGAAGCTACTATCTGCAGCCTTGAATCCCAGCTTGCTGGAATTTACAAGGGAGGCAACAGTTCTCCTCCAGCTCTGTTTATTGCTCCTTACTCCCTCGAGCTTTTTTTTTTATTTTTTTTATTTTTTTTATGCAGAACTGGGGATTGAACTCAGGCCCTTGAGCTTTCCAGGCAAGCGCTTATTCTACTGAGCCATCTCCCGGCCCCAGGCTTTTGTTTCATATCTATATTCTATACTTTCTTTTTTTTTTTCCTTTTGTTTTGGCGGGCTGGTACAGCGTGTGGTATCGCAGTCCCCTGCGCCTGCCTAACCCTAACTTGCCTAAGCAGGCACTTTAGACTGCTGAGCTATCTTACCGGCCCCTCTTCTTTTTTGAGACGGGGCCTCACTATGTAGTCTGGTGTTGAACTCACGTAGCCCAGGCTGGCCTTTTTTTCCCCCTGTATTTAGGACAGGGTCTACAGGGTCTCACTGTGTAGACTGGAGTCAGTGATTCTCCTGTTTTTAGTCTCCCAAGTGCTGGGGTGCTACCACTCTTAGTCTCAATGCTGGCCTTATTTATTTATTTATTTATTTATTTATTTATTTTTGGCAGAACTGGGGATTGAACTCAGGCCCTTGCACTTGCCAGGGAAGCACTTATTCCGCTGAGCCATTTCCTTTGCCCTTAAGGCTGGCCTTCTTGATCCTCCTGCCTCAGCCTCTTGAGCACTGGGATTTCAGGCATGTACCACCATACCTGGCTTGTCTTAGTGTCTGAAACTATTTTTCTTTTTTTAAAATTTTATTTATTTATGTGTGTGTGTGTGTGTGTGTGTGTGTGTGGCTAGCTCAGCCCACCAGGGGGCGGGGCTGGCTGGCATGTGGTGCTGGGGGATTGAAACGTGGTCCCTGTGCTTTTGCTAAGCTTGTTCTAAGTAGGTGCTTTAGACCACTGAGCCATCTCACCAGCCCCTTCTGAAACTATTTTGATTTTCCAGGGGAACTTCTCAGTCCAAAGACCAGGAGGAGACTACACCTTTCCTTTGTCCATGTTAGACATTATAGTCTTTGCTTGGTCTGTAGATTTTCTTAAATATGAAACTGACATAACGGGTGATTTGAAATTATATTTTCTTCTGATGGTTCTTGAATCATAACCAAAAAGTTATGATTTTTTTTTTGTATTTTAGGGAAGGGTTTTCAGGGTGTTCAGGGTCTCACTACTAGATCTGACTTGTGATCTGCCTGTTTACAGCCTCCCAAGAGCTGGGATTACAGGCGTGTGCCACACACCCAGTCTCAATTGCCGTCTCAGTGTGCCCCAGGGGTGGGTCGGCATTGCAGGCCCAAGGATTGAATCCCCAGCCCCTGCATCTGCTCACAGGCGTTTTAATCTGAGCTATTTTGCCTATGATTTTTGATCTAAAAGAAAGACTGGAAACTTCTTTTTTAAAATATTTTTTAGGGGAGGGCTTATAGGGTGTTTAGGGTCTCACTGTTACAGCCTCCCAAGGGCTGGGATTACAGGTGCGCCTCACCACGCCCAATCTAAAACTAGAAACTTCTGCCCTAATGAACTGGGAATGTAGTATCTGTGGGAGGAGGTTTAAGAAGAGACAAAATATTTTAATTGTCCCCGTCACAGACATCCAGAAGTCACTAGAAAAGTGAATCTGCCACTGAATCTCATCATCTCATTTTGCTCCTAGACTTCAAGCCACCCCTGTATCAGGTGACCCTCAGCTCCTCCACCTCTCTCCTCGGGACTTCTCAAGAGTCCAGAATCTGACTGGGACATGCTTTTGTCTCCCACCTTATGTTCCCAGCTCTACTAAAATACACCTCCCCACCCCTGCCCTCCTTAGCGATCCCCTCCAGTCCAAATCGAGCTTAATATTTGGGCTCACCTTGAACTCCACCCCTCTGTGAGTAGAGAGTTAACGGAGCAGCTGTGTGTGCTGTGCGCCAGGCCCTGTGCGGAGACGCACCGTGGGCCAGGACAGCGCCTGATATCCCGGAGGGTGGCGGGTTGCCTAGTGGTTAGCACCCAGCTGAGTGCGGCAGTGCGGTGCTGTGCGGCGGCCCTCCTGAGAATGGCCCCAACAGCATGAGGAGGACTGGAAGGGAAGGGGTGCTGCCGATTCTCCGGGAGAAGCTGGCGTGCTGGTTTTCCTGATGTGAACTCAGCTGGTTTTAATCACTGGAGGAGCACGAGTCCTCGCTGTCACAGAGGCTGGATGCGTTTCTTCTTGGGAGAGCTCTGCTCCTCACCTTGAGTGTCCCTTCCTGGCCCCAGTGCAGCTCCTCAGCCTGTGGCACAGATCCTTCGTCCCACTGCTGCAGACTTTCTAGCTTCCCCCACTGACCTTTGGCCTTCCCAGCACAGATCTTTTTTTCACTATTTTCTTTTTGCTCTGTGCTGCTGAGCTACATTCCCCATCCCAGTGCAGATCTTTGATGCAGACCTGGGCTCTGGGCCTCCAGCTGGACTTGGAGGACACTGCCACGGGATCCAGCCGCGGCTGGATTCTTGGGTCTCTAGTGTGGGGACAGATTGCCTTCACTCTTCTGCCTTTGACTCTGGATGATTATGCTAAAATAATCCTATAAATTTTGTGTTGTGCATTAAATCTGTTCCTTTACAAACCTTGACTACAGCAGGGAGCCAGGCTAGTGAGGGGTGGGCAGTGAGGGTGACATGGTGAGGCTGGCGGGTGTGTGAAGCAGGAAGGCAGGGCAGGACAGCCCCTGTGCCCGGGGCTGGCTAAGCACAGGGCGATCCCAGGCACTCCTCTGCTTTGTACTGGTCAAGCCTCCACCCACCAAGGAGACAACCTCTGTGCCCTGGGCTGTGGGTGCCCTTAGCTGAGCCAAGCTGGAGCCCCTGCCCACCACCCTTGGCCTGGGCACAGGGCCTGACGTCTCCCGGGTGCAAACCTCAGAGGATGGCTCTTCACAACTCTTGAGTCTTCACCACACCTGTACAGGAAGGAGAGAGAATTCCTTATACCTTCAGGAAGAACCGCTAAGCCCCTGGATCTACCCCACTGCACGTCCTCGCTCCACTGCTCCCGGCTCCTCACTGTCCCCTGCTGCCTCTAAATGTGACTGCCCACCAGGGCCTCCTTGATAAAAACTCTAGGCTCTGAATTCCTTCACTGCTCTTACTGATAAAATTAGGGTTGATCCCAGCTGACTGGGGAAGGAATGAGCTAAGTGTAGACTGTGGAAATGGGAGCAGGATTTGCTGGGGGTGAAGCTGTCTGTACCTCAGATATCTAGGACAAGGCCACTGCCTCTCATGAGTTTGGCAGGGGCCCGTGAGAAGTGTGCACAGCTCTGGGAGCTGTTGCCATAGTGACTTGACCTTGGCTTGAGACAGTTTCCTCTTGTTTTCACCAAGGCATGCGGTTCTGTTGCAGATTAGCTATTCTTACTGTCCCAGATTCTACCCTTTCCTTAAATTCTCCATGCATGTATCTGCCTTGGTTACTTTTCTCTCAGTGCTGAAACAAAATAGCTGACACCAAAATTAAGGAAGGAAGGAAGGGTTTATTTAGCTCAGTTCGTGGAAGTTTCAGTCCATAATCAGCTGGCTGCAAGGCAGGGCGGCAGGGCACAGGGCTGCAGTTCATGGTGGCAGAAGACAGCAGAAGCAGCAAGAGCAAAAGAAGGAAGAGCCAGCCCCTTATATTGAAAGCAGGCTGCCTACCCCGAGGGCGGGTGCGGCACTCACACCATCTCCATGCCGGCCTCTTGCACAGGATGAGAGTGTTTGCAAAGTGAGGACTGCAGCCTCCTGCCGAGTCACTTAAGCTTCTAAGCTTCTCAGGTTGATGCAACGTTTTAACCTGTACAATATCCATATGCTGATTATATAAATATGCTGCAGGTTGGGACAACTGCTTTCTCCCATCAGGAGAGAGGGCTCCACCTGACCTCAGCTTTCTGCATCTCGACTTGTTTTCTTCATTCCCCGCCATCCTCCCTCCAGAGATTCAAAGCTGTGCTGTATGTGGCAGTCATCCTGGGCCCCATATTGGCCTGCTCGTTGTACCTCCTCCTTCCACAGCTTACATAACTGTAAGAACAAATTGCTGAGAGGTACCTCCTAAAAATTAACACAAGCTGGTGTGGTGGCATACACGGGTAGTTCCAGCACACAGAAGGCTGAGGCAGGAGGATTGCTGTGAGTTCAAGGCCAGCCTGGGCTACACAGCAAGACCCTGTCTCAAAAACAAAAAACAGCACTGTTGTGGGATGGTGGTGTAGCTCAGTGGTAGAGAGAGCACTTGCCTAGCATGTGCAAGTCCCAGGGTTCAATCTCCAGCACCCAAAGTCAGGATAAAACACTACGGAAGGGGGGGCCTGGCCCTAGCTCAGTCCTTTAAGTGGCTGCTTCCACAAAGCTGTCAGCCTCAGGTTGCTGGAGTTCGAATCTCACAACTCTCCTGCTGGCCAAAAGTGCCCCGAAGGCATTCGAGGAACCAAAAAAAAAAAAAAACAACAGAATACAGTGGTGTGACTGATCTGTAGTGCCTGGCGTATGCCTCCTTCCCAAAGGCAGGCCTTAGGAACTGTAATCATTTGCCTTTCTGACTTGGAGCTGGTTGTAAATCAATCCTCTGACCTCCCTCTTATCTGATAGCAGAGTGTAAGAGCACATATTTCAGCAGGGGTCCTGCTGTACAGGAGGGAGGAATGAATGCTGCACAGAGAGCAGGACAGGAAGAATCTGAACCGACTGGCCTTGCTGGATTTCCTCACCCTATTAACAAGTAGGTCATAATCCTTTCGCCCCTCACATTCCTGGAGATTGAGCCCAAGCCCTCTCCTACATGCTGGGAAAGCACTCTCTTTTGTTTTGTTTTGCTTTGAAACAGAGTCTCACTATCTAGCTCAGGCTGGCTTCAATTTCACAGCAGTCTACCTGCATCAGCCTTGCGGGTGCTGGAATTACAGTTGTGTGCCACCAGGCCTAGCCTTGTGGGAGCACTTTGTACCCCTGGATACACTCTCAACCCTTTTTATTATTTTTATTTATTTAGGGTGGTATCAGGGATCAAACTCACGACCTTGTGCTTGCCAAGCAAACACTTATTCCACTGAGCTATCTCCCAGCCCCTATTATTATTTTTAAATGTATCTGGTTGTGACAGGATCTCACTATGCAGCTCAGACTCATAGTGATCCCCATTTTTCAGCCTCCCCAGGACTGGGATTATAGGCGTGGTACCACACGCTTGTTTGCTAGCTCAGCACACCCCAGGGGTGGGGCCGGCAAGACACGCGGGACCAGGGATAGAACCCTGGTCCTGTGCTTGCCATAGCAGTGGCTCTACTTGTGATCCTTGAGTCTCAGCCTCCTGAGTAGCTGCAGTACAGGTGTGTGGTCCCTGGCTCAAACATATCCTTTTCGTCCAACCATATTCGTTTACTTATACTTTCTTTAGTTACATGTTTGCTTTAAGCTTCAATAAATGATTTGTGACTGCCCCCCCCCCAGCACATCCTTACCTTGTCCTTTCTCCCTCTGTCCTTCCCCCAGTGGGAGGAGCCCTCTATATGTTGGGAGGGTCTGAGGCGTCACCCTTGGTCCATCTCTTGGCTGGTCCACGTGTTAGGGGTTATAATTCAAAGTCCCTTCGCTTTGTTGCCTGATACTTCCAGCCTCCCTTGGGGAACACATGGAGGAGCTGATATTTCTTTTCTTTTTTTTTTTCCTAATGACACAGGCTCTCACTATGCAGTTCAGGGTGTCCTTGAACTCACTGTGTAGCCCAGACTGGCTACTTGCAGTGGTCCTCCTGCCTCAGCTTCCCTAGTGGTGGGATTACAGACGTGCACTACCATGCTTGGATTTAATATTAGTATTTTACAGTTGGGAAACTGATGTAGAGATTTCATGTGTTCATGGTTAATTTCCCTTGAAAATGGGAGAGCCCAGGTTTTTAGGAGATTCCCAAACTACATCTCTACCTTAGACTGTTCCTGGGTTCAGATCCTCACTTCACCTACCTACCATATCTATTAGATGTCCCTCGGGCACCTCCACAGGTCTGAAATTGGCCTGAGGCTGGCTCTCCTCCGATTCCTACTGCTGATGAAGTGCATTGCCACAGCCGCTTACCTGAAGGAAGTCAGGTTCTCCTAAATCACTCTCTCAGCATCCTCCAGTTCCATGCTCCACGCCTCCCTCCAGGCAAATCACTCCCTGTCCTCAACACCTAAGTCGCTATCCTCCTTCTATTTGTAGGAATCCCTAGATAGTTACTGTGGTCTCCAACCTGGATCCTGCCTCCACCCACCCACCACAGTGTAAGCCAAGTCACTACCCTGAAATGCAGAGCTGGGCAGGGATGTGCTCTGAGGTGCAGCCCTTGCCTAGCGTAAGAGGCCCTGCATTCAATTCCCAACATCACAAAAAGGTAAGATTCCTAATCATTGAGACAAAACTCCATACCACACTCCTTGCTGGGATTACTGGATAGTACAGAGTTTGGATATATATAGTATATATATAATTTTTTAGGGAAGGGTCTACAGGGTGGTCAGGGTCTCATTAGATCAGACTCCTAGTGATCTGCCTGTTTACAGCCTCCCAAGAGCTGGGATTACAGGCATGTGCCACCATAAGTACCATAAGTACTTTTTTGAGACAGGATCTTGCTGTATAGTTCAGGCTGCTCCTGAACTAACTATGTAGCCTAGGCTGGCCTCAAACTTGCAGCAGCAGTCCTGCCTCAGCCTCCCGGGTTTATTGGTGTACATCACCACGCCCAACTTCTGAGAGTTGTTTCTGTGTTTTGGTCCTCGGTACCGAACCCAGGTCTGCCCTGACACTAAACTATGTCCCAGTCCTTCCTACAAGTTGTCTTTGCTTTGTTTTTGCTGCTGCGGATTGGACCCAGGGCCTGAACATGTTAGGAAAGTGTTTTCTCACTGAGCTACACCCAGCACGGTTGCTATGTAGCCTTTCAGTTGCTATATTTAGTCCTGGGTGTCTTCAGTTGGGGGTGGGAGGTGGAAGTGGCACTTGAACCCAAGACCTCACAATGTATTTCCAGTCTTTAAATATGTATATTTTCCTAGGAGTTATTCATGTGTGTGCTCAAAATTTTATTTATTGTCTTTTGAGACAGGGTCTCCCTATGCAGTTGAGGCTGGCCTTGAATGCGAAGTGATCCTCTTGCCTCAGCTGGGGTTACAGGTGTGGGGCACACACTCAGCACCTAACATCCTTTTGGTGAATGGCCATTATCCTAGTTCTTGGGTTACAAAACCACTCCCGTCTGTCCTGGCTGAGACTAGCACTTCAGTCTGCAGGAGGAAACGTGCTTTTCTGGCCTCGGTCTGTGCACATCAGCCTTGGCCCATGCTCTTGCTTCCCAACCCCCTCCCTGGTGGCGCTGGGGACTGAACTCAGGACACTCTGCAGTTGATTTGGATCCTCCAGTCTGCTTTGTCATTTTTCCAGACAGGGTCTGGCTCAGTGGCCCAGCTGGGCTTGGGCTTGTGACCCTCCTTCCCTGCTTAGGGGCTGGCAGTCCAGCCGTACACCCCCATGTGGGAGGCTTCCCAGCCCTGTGACTCCCACTCCAATCCAGGTCTACAGTGGCACTTGGCCCTCAGCGGCAATGGGGCAGGAGGCACCACAGGGCCCAGAAACAACAAGTACCAAACAGACATGGCGGGAAGTGGGGGAGCAGTCAATACCTACGAGTTGTAGCTTGCGCCTCAAGCACGCAGGGAGTCCCGGGACAGCATGTTCAAGTCAAAAATGCATCGACCAGCAAATTCGACCAGTTTCAAAGCAGTCAAGTACCAATGTATGACTTTGTTTAAAAAGATAACAAAATGACCAAAAATCCCCCTCAGCAACCTGCTTTGAGCTAGTGGGGATTCAGATGGCTCCAGCTCTTCCATTAGTGCAGGTTGGAGTAAGTGAGCACAGCCATCGTGGGGGCTGGTGCGCATACAGGACACATCTCAGCTCTTCAACCTGCCCTCCCTGCTGTCCCCGCCCTCATCTCTCGGTCTGCTTCTCTTTTGCACAAGCTCTCTCCCTCTTTCCTATTAGCTATCTTTTATTTGCTCTTTACATTATGTATACATTGGGATTCTCACAAGAGACCCCACGCCCTGCCTTTCTAGGTGCTCCTGTGTGTCACCTTGCTGCATCTTCCTTTCCTCCAGAGAACGCAGGCTTCTTGCACCTGGCTCAGCGCCTGGCTCTCCTAGGCATCTGTCAAGAAGCTGTAGGGTACAGCGGATTCTGCCCTCTCATTCACCGGTAAAGCCCTGTCCAGAGGGCAGCACATGGTCTGGTTGCCCCCTCAGTTTCAGGCATGGCTTCAGGGGCCCCTTCTGCTTGCTCAGGGTTCTCCACCAAGGCTGGGTCGGGACCAGACTCAAGTGCTCCAGGCTTGAGTTCCTACGCTGGGCCTGTGTGCCAGCAGGTGGCACTCGAGGCCCACAGACTGAACCAGCACCTCCCTCTCCCCACCTCTCACTGGCTCCATGCTGCCTTTGTGGCCAGGTAGCAGCCATAACTGGGCCTCCCCTTTGCTGGCAAGTCTGAGTAGTTCCAGAGCCTGTGTTCCAACCTGGGGACTAAAAGCTTTTAAAATAATTATTTTTATATCACATGCATCAAGTCCCCTTTTCCTTAGTAATTAATAGTCTCCTACCCTTCCCGCTTGTCTTTGATGATGCTAAACCATGGTCAAAGAAGCCCAGAAGCCTTGGGTCCTGTATTGAGGCAAAATTTTTTTTTCTGGTACTGGGGACTGAACACAGGACCCTGCGCTTGTCAGGCAAGTGCTTATTCTACTGAGCTATCTCCCTGGCCCCTTGGGTCCTGTCTTGAGTTTCTCCCTGTTGCTACATATGGGATGGAGAAAGAATTTTGTTTTTTAAAGCAGCAAAAGCAGAGTATGGCTGTGGGTGTGTGGGCAGGAATTATTGAGACACTGCTAGTGTCACTTGCCTTGTCCAGGAATTATTTGGGTCTGAACTTTGTGGGGGGAGAGTCTCAAAAAAATGTCATGGTACCAAAGAGAGCTTCTTAAGGAGGGGACAGTGGGAGCTGAGTCCTGAGAACAGGGAGGTTATTGGTACCAGGAACTGAACTCAGGACCTTGTGTGGTTATTCTATTTAGGTAAAAAACAACTTGAATTTGAAAGACAAGGATAGATCAGCTTTGTGTCTCCCAGGTACTCCCCAACTCACACCCAGGCTCTCAGGATGTTCCCTCTGAGCACGCTCCATGTCACCTGCCACTTGTCACACAGCTTCTGTGGAGGACCCCTTCTTCTAGGGGGCTCACCTCATACCTCTCCTGCACTCCTGGATGCAGCTAACCCTGGGTTCGCGTTGCTGCAGACAAGACTGGTACCCTCCCTGCCATGCCCTGACTCAGCACAGCCAGCCACCAGCAGGCTCCTGCTGTAGGAGTATCAACGTCCCACCGAGGCTGCAAACAGGCCTCCTCTTTGAGGCTAGAGCAAGGAGAATGGAGGAGAGTGAGTTGGAGATTCTGGAGCAAATTTTTAAAAAAATCTTATTTATTTGGTACATGGTCTCACTATGCAGCTTGAACTTGTAGTGATCCTCCTGTCTCAGCCTACTCCATGCTGGGATTATAGGCACGTGCCACCATGCCTGGTTTTGGTGGCCAGCTCGGCACGCTTGGATTTCTAGGGCCAGCATGGCATGCCATACTGGGGATTGAACCCAGGTACTTGTACTTGCTAGGCAGGTGCTTAGATTGCCGAGCTATCTCCCCAGCCCTCTGGAGCAAATTTATGAACTGTGTCAGGCAGGATACTGTGACTGCATGTCTGCAGTCCCAGCACTCCAGAGGCAGAGACAGGAGGATGTTGCAAGTCTGAGCCAGACTGGAGCACACAAACCCTGTCTCAACCTCCACCTGCCCCCAAACCCCAACTGATGAGCTGCTTATATTTTGCTCAGCTTACAGCACAAGCAGTGCAAAGCCTACATTTGGACACTAGGGACGGCCCATGGGAGAGTGAAAGACAGAGGTAGGAGACTGGCAAAGTCCTTGGAGAGAACTGAATCTCCTGAAAGCAGGTTAGAGATGAGGCTGCTGAAGGGCTCTGGTGGAAATGCTGGCTTTTGTACACAGGACAGCCGAGATTCTCTGCTCATCTCTGGCAGAAACATAGGTTCTGGGTGTTGCCATGCAGTTGTGTGGACCAGGGAGCACTGCCCCAGAGGCGACAAGGACTCTGGAGAGCGGAGGCAGCTGCTTGCAGACCTGGGCAGAACCTTAGAGCCCACTTAGCTCAGCCTCTTTCTTACCTGGGAAGGGCACCGCAGAGCTGGGTCCTTCACCCTACCAGATGGCTCCATATGTGTCCCGCCACCTGTCACCTCAGCTAACCTCCAAATACCCTCACTTGTGTCTCAAGTTGCCTTTGATCAGAAAGACCCAGGCCCTGGAAGGAACAAAGTGGGTCTGCTGCCAGTGTGACCTGAAGCTTGGGTATGAAAAATGAAAGGGGCTTGGAGGCCCTGAAATAAAACAGACAGGAGCCTTTGGGGGTCTTTATTGCAAACCATTAAAGTGATAATTTATGAGTGTCTGAGACAGCATATGGCCCAGGAGCCCATGTTGGTTGCAAAGGCCCACGGGGAAGGGGGAAGAGGATGGCACTTGTAGGAAGAAGAGCCCAGTTAGTTAGACTCTTGGGGAGCCTGGGAGGAAAGAAGGGTGTGGGGAGGGCTAAGAAGCAACTGCTATAAATTCTGAATCTGCTGCCACTGAGCACAGCACCTTCCTGCATCGGTGCTCAGAATCACTGAGTCCAACAGGCCCTGCCAGCTCAGGACACCCAAATCCTCACCGTCACATCTGTCATAGCCTTGCCTGACAGAGACTTCCCGTAGTTTAGAAACACCAGCAACAGGAAAAGAAAGAATGTTCTGGTTAGTATAAATCCATGCAAAGATGACTCGAGGAGCACTGGCTCTTTCCCAGGGCTGGCAGGTGTGAGGCAGGATCTTTGGGTCCTGCGTCCACAAGGTGTCTGCACAGGCAGTGCCGAGGAAGGGGCCTCGGTCTTAGCTTTGAACAGGAGCCCGTATTTCTAAGAACCTGCAGGCATGGTCACTGGGAACCAGAGCCTGGTGGAGCAGGGCCACAGGGGAGGAGGAAAGGTACACGGCTGTAGGAGGCAGCAGCACACATGGCCACACCACACTGTGGCTCTGCTCCAGGGGCTCGTGTGCCTGCCGTGCGGGAGGTGTCCCCTCTGTGGTCTTGGGGTACTATTTGGGCAAAGCAAAGTCCCAGGCAGTTTCCTGCGCACATTTCCACATGGCCTGCATGAGGCGGGTGAAGCCCATGTCTTTGGGCTTCTCTAGGCCTCTCATCAGCCGCTGCTTCATGATGGAAACGAACTCCTTATTGCTCAGCTCCCCGTTGCCTAGAGGAAGAGATAAGCGCAACAGTGTAAGTGGAGGCCTCCGAGCACAGTCAGGGACAAAATGCTGCAGCGAAGCTTGGCACTCTCGGCTTAGGATGGACTAGCTTGCTCTCTCCTTGATGTCCCCACCTGCAGCTTGGTGATGGTTTGCTGTGTTGTGACAACAGCTGAATGAGTTTCGAGCAGGCCAGGGCCAGGGGTTGAGAATAAAGAAGTAAGCAGGCTTTGTGCTTTCTGTCTTGAAGTGTTCCCGAGTGTGGGAGAGCTGCTTCCGTGCACAGTGGAGGAAAGAGCTGGATGGGCAGCAGAGGGTGCTCTGGAGCACAGGGCCAGTGTGGCTGCTAAGGACTACGAGTTCAGTCCTGCTGGACATGGAGGCAGGGATGGCAAGTGAACTCCAGGTCCCTGGAGTGTCCCCACCCGAATGCTTCCTCCGTCTCACTCCCCTCGGCCTGTCCAGTTCCTGCCCACCTTTGCAGTTCAGCTCTGCAGATGCTCACCTGTGCCCGTGCTGCCCTGGCTGGTTACATTTTTCTCTGTATCTATTCTCTGCACCTGGCAGGGGCCTGGTGTATATTGTATCTGGAGACAGAGCTGTACCATTTGCTTCCTGGAGACATTAAAATATTCTAGTAGCTCCTTCTCTACTAAGCAGCAAGTTGGGTGTAATTCTTTTTTTTAAAGAAAGGTACATTTCTTTGAGGTCACTTAGGATTGCAACTGGGGAAAAAACACATCCAAGAAATCTTGAAAACGTTCCCCCTGTTTAAGAGCCTTTTGGTCATAGATGAATTTAGGCCTACAGGCGAACTGGACTTCCCAAGAGAGAACAGGGCCTGGGGTCAGTGCCCAGGACCACAAAACAAAACAGCAAACAAAAACCCCTCATACACGAAGAAATGGAAAATGCACACCAGGGCCAGGGGTTCTATTTCTTAGTCTTGAGAGGTACTGGGCAGCATGGGCCTTGAATACTGATGCTGTCACGGAGACCCACTCACCGTCACAGTCGAAGAGTGCAAACACCACATCGCATACATGGTCGGACAGTTCCACTTTAGCCACAGTCCTGGCCACCTGCTGCATGGTCACTGGAAGATGAGCAAGACATGCAGTTAGTCTGGCATGGGGCTTCTATTCTGATTCTGTGTGTGGGTATAAATGGCTTGGCCAGAAATTTCCTTTTTTTTTTTTTTTTTTAAATGTATTTGGCACAGGGTCTCAATACCCAGCTCAGACTCATAGTGATCCTCCTGATTTCAGCCTCCCCAGCACTGGCATTACAAGAGTGCTTCACCATGTCCGGTCTCAGTGGCCAGCGCAGCATGTGGTGCTGGGATTTGTATCCCAGTCCCTATGCTTGCCTAAGCAAGCTCTTAGTCTGCTGGACTACCTGGCCGATCCCAGAAGTTTCCATTGTGCTTAGGTTATGTGGAAGGAAACGAGATTGGTTTTTATCCACAGCTCTGTCGTCCCTTTCACCTCAAGTTCCATTCTTTTTTATTGCTTGTGAGGTTCATACAGTTAATTAAGGATACTTGATATTAATAAATGAATAAAAACAGAAAGTAGAGGAGCTCAGGGGCTTGGGGAACCAGTGCTTAATGGGCAGATTCTTTGTTTGGGATAATAGCAATGTTTTGGAAATAACAATAATGTGGAAATAGCGATAATCTACAGCACTGTGAACATGATGAGCGGCATTGACTTGTACCTTTAAAGTGACTAACATGGGCTGGGGAGATGGCTCAGTTGCGTGAGTTCAATCCCTGGTTACACACACACACACACACACACACACACACACACACACACACACGACTAACGGATATATATATATATATATATATACATACAAATTATTTTTTTTGAGACAGGGTCTCCCTGTGTAATCCAAACTCAATTTCTTTTTTAAAAAACTGAATATAATATTTAAACATGGGACTTTAACAGTCTATAGCATAAGGTGGCAACTTTTCTAATTATTTTCTTTTTGTGGAACCAGGGATTGACCTCAGGCCCCTGTGCTTGCCAAGCAGGCACTTATTCTACTGAGCCATCTCCCCAGCCCCTCTAATTATTTTCAGAAGAGTTCTTCTGTACCAAACAAATAAAATATTTTTTTTTTTTTAAAAGAAGAGTTCCTTGAAAAGCTTCCTGATATTGCTATGGTATTTGCCAATATCCTTGGCATTGCTATCCTGCTGGAAATAATGTGATAGAAAAAGCCAAGGGAATTAGCAGGCAGCCTCAGGAATGGGCAGTGGGGGCCAGGGAAGCTCACCACAGAGTGTGTGCGAGGAGGCTGTACACCTGGGTCCTGGGGACAGTGAAGCACCTGTGCAATGAGCTCCTTATTCTGTGAGGTCCTTCCCTCAACTGGCTTTGCCTGGGTCACTTTGTTGTCCTCCAGTTGTGCCCTTTGAGAGAAGCAGTGGTCCCTATCTTACTAGATATGTATGGTTTTTTTTTGGGGGGGGGTAGTACTGGGGACTGAATCCAGAGCCTTTGAATTGAGATACATATCCATCCATCCATCCATCCACCCATCCATCCATCCATCCATCCTTCATTCATTCACTCACTTACTTATTTGGGACAGGGTCTCATTAAGCCATTAAGTTTCCCAGGCTGGTCTTGAACTTGTGATCTTCCTGCCTCAGCCTCCCAGAATGTTGGATTCACTGGTATGCACCACCATGCCTAGCTAGTATGTGGTTTTTAACTTCAGTAGAAAATCTTTTCTCTTGCCTTTTTCTTTTTTGGTACTAGGAATCAAACTCAGGACCTCATGCTTGCTAGACAGGCACTGTGCCACTGAGCTAAATCCTGGCCCTCTTTTGCCATTTTCTTTTGTTTCTTTCATCTTTTTGGGATAGGGTTTCACCATGCAGTTCAGGCTGGCCTGGCCTTGCACTTGCAGCTATCTTCCTGCCTCAGCTTCCCAAGTGTTGGGATTACAGGCCTGTGCCAGTACACATGACATTCTTGTCATTTTTCTTTCTGTGAATTTCCTGTTAAATACTAGCAGTCACATGAGAATTGGCTTCTGAATGACAATCTTGGAAAGGACAGGTAGTTTCCAGTCTTCTCTCCCATCCTCAAAGCGGTCCGATGGCTCAGATAAATTATGTTATTGCGAACAGACACACTTCTAGGTGAAGTGAAACTTTCACTAATGAAAAGGACTGATTATGACTCTCTAGCCATGGAGGGCTCTGTAATCATCAGGTCAGACTCATCCAGAAGCAACGTGAACTTAAACTGGTGCCAGCATTCCTGCTTTCCTTCCTGTGATTTCTGTTCCTGTCTCTTGCCTGCCTGGCCTCTATTTCTGCATTTCACCTCTCTTGACATCTGTCATCTTCCCGTATTCACCACAGTACAGCCAAGGCCAGCAGCGTAGTCATGGAAATGAGCAAGGTAATGCCGCGTGATGAGGATCTGGCTCGGGCCCCCTCCACTGTCCACTTGCTGTGTGACCCTGATGGAGTCACTTGATTTCTTGAGATGGCCCATGCTGATAATCCTAGCTAGGGAGGCTAAGGCAGGAGGATTGCAAGTTCAAGGACAGCCTGGGCAACTTATTGAGCTGTTTCAAAATATGTACAAAAGGGAGGGGGCTGCAGTTCAATCCTCAGTCACACACACAGACACCTCCCCCCCTCCACTTGTGGGGGATGGGGCGGGTTATGGTTCGCACTGCCCTTCCTGTAGTATGTGAGTAGGCTGTAGGAGGAGTTAAAGATGTGGGCAGAAGAGACTGGAGGGTTTCTACAAGATCTGGGTTCTGGGGCCTTGCTAAGCTCTAAAGGTCTCAGGTTTAGAGCTTCAGCCCTGCAAGCCAACTTACAACAAACTAGCTGACAGCCACAAGGACACTCCTCAGGAGACTCCACTTGGGAAACTCAGTTTCTGCAGAAAACTGCCCAATGAAGACAGACGGAGTGCAGAAACCACTCTCAAGCTGATCACCCACGGGGTTCCCTTTGTGCCACAGGAGGGGATAGGAACCTGTCCTGCAGTCAGTGCTTGCTCTGCTCCTCACATCTGTGTCACACTTTGTCCGTGGCACCAATCACACTCATTCTATTTTCTTTCCCACTTCCTCCATCCTCCTAGGGCAGACAGTACCTGTGGCCAATCGTCCAACAGTCCAAGTCTCAGCCGCCCCTCGTGAGGAGGTGCTCCTTCCTCTAAATAAACCATTAAATAATACTCAGTGGCGCCAGTTAGAGCTCTTGACAGTATTTAGTGAGCAGCTCATTAAACTGGTGTTAAGTGGTTGTAGAGCAAGAATCTCTGGAGGCCGCTGCAGAGGACACCTCAGCACAGACTGTTCTGTCTCACATGGAGAGGGCGCTGTTGTCCTCTGAATGACAGGAAAACCAAGGCTGCTCAGTCATTGTGACTCAGATCACCAGGATGACACCAGTCTGGGGCAGCCCAGCTGGGGAGGCCTGCCTTGGTGCAGGGTCTTCAGTCAGGCCTCTAAGGCTCAATCAGAGCAGGAAGGAGACTAGGTGGTGAGCTGTCAAACTGGGAGCTCTGGGGACAAGGGAGATGACAGCTGATCATAAGGCAAATGCCTGACAGCTGGTCCTGAGAGCTAGCTCATTTATATTGCTTCCAACATCTCCAAATCACAAGGCCATAATGAAATCACAGCAAGTGGAGCAGCTCTGTGCTCAGGTCTCAACTTCCTGTGTGGACCAGCTACTGACACGGGGATTTCGGCCTTCCCTAGCTAGGACTGTGATACTGTGAAATATACTTGGTCTTCTGTTTTCTGGCATAAAACTCCTAATACCCCCAGGACTCCCCAAAGTGAGGTATCTTTTTGTATGCTAATTAAGATGGTGGTATTTGGTATCACTAGTCATTGGAGAGATGCAAATTAGAACAGTGCTGAGATTCCATCTCACTCCAGAAAGAATAGCTATTATTTAGAAATCACCAATGACAACTGCTGGTGGGACTGTGGGAAAAAAGGTACCCTTTGTACTGCTGGTGGGAGGGTAGACTGGTGCAATCAGTGTGGAGATTCCTCAAAAAACTGAAACTGGAGTTTTCATTGGACCCAGCTATTCCCCTTCTTGGTAGCTTCCCAAAAGAATTAAAAGCACTGTACCACAGCGATATATGCACCCTCACATTTATAGAGGCACAGTTAATAATAACCAAATCTTGGAAACAACCCAAATGCTTATCAACTGGTGAATGGGTAAAGAAGATGTCGTTTTGTTTTTTTACACAATGGAATACTACTCAGCCATAAAAAGGATAAACTCGAGACATTTTTAGCTAAATAGATGCACTTTCAAACCATACTCCTAAGTGAAATAAACTGAACACATGTGTACATATTGCATTGTTTCTCTGGTGTGAGAAACAGAGTATAAATTGGGACCAAAATATAATAGATATTGTCAAATAGGAAGAAAATGCTCAAATGGGAAGGGAAACTGGGGAGGAAGGGAAAAGAAAAGAAGGAAAAATGGAAACAAAAGTTTTGTAAATAAGGAAGGGAAGGGGTTGAAGGGAGGGTAAGGGAATGGGGTAAATCAATTACACTATGTCATGCACAGGTATAAATTCACTATGATGAATGTGATCATTACGTGTACCAAATATTTACCAATAAACTTAATAAAAAAATGACTGGTGGCTGGAGCTTGTTACAGGGGAAACCAAGGCACCCCTGAAAGGGCTGGGACTTTTCCGCTCACCCTCCAGCCTGGAAGCTGCTCACAAATGGTCAAGATTCAGTGGAGAGTCCGTAAAACCTCAGAAGCACAGGGTTCTGAGTTTCCAGACTGTTGAACACGTGATGGGTGGGAGGGTTGATGAGCCCAAAGGGCAGGGAAGCCCTGTGCTCTACCCCAGCCTCTCCCAGTGCTGCTGGACATATCTTTATATAAACCAGCAAACATAAATCCTGAGTGCTGTAAACAGTTCTCACAAACCAGTGCAACTCAGGGCACTAGTTGTGGGAATGCACATTTCCCTGGCCATGAGAAGCACAGGTAAGACTACCTGGGGCTCGTTACTGGCACAGGATGGGGGACAGTCTTGGACAAGCAAGTCTTCA